AGTCACTAGTATGGCAATATGTAAAAACGTGGATGTGTAATCGATGTGATTCTGCAATCTGTATACGGGGTAAAAATGGGAGTTCATAACCCACTTGAATCAAATGTATGAAATATGATATGTTAAGAGCTTTGTAATGTTTTGAACAACCAAAAAAAATTTCAAAATAAAAAAAATGTAAAAAAAAAAAAGAGAGATATTTTTTCTGGGCTGGGGTTGTGGCTCAGTGGCAGAGGGCTTGCCTCACACATGTGAGGGACTGGGTTTGATCCTTAGTACCACATAAAAATAAATAAACAAAAATAAATTTAAAAAAGAGATTTTTTTCTGAAACATTTTGAAAATAAATTGCTGATATGATAACTATTCACACCTAAATCCTTTAGCATACATCTAGGAATAAGGACATTCTTCTATATGAAATATCAGTGCTGTTTTCCTTCTCAAGAAAATAATTCTACATGATCTGCAGTTCATATTCAGATTATCCCAAATGTCCCAAAAAATGTCCTTTATAGTCCTCACTTTTTTGATCCAGGATCAAATTTAATATCCAGGATCTAAGATTCATATGTTGCATTTGGTTGTGCTGTCTCTCCCTTTTGATTTTTTTGTTTGTTTGTTTTCCTTGATCTTGACCTTTTTCATGAGTCTAAGCTAGCTATCTTGTCCAGTGTCTCCTATCTGAATGTATCTGATTGTTTCCTCATGGCCAGGTTCAGGTTGAACATTGTTGGCACAGATATGCAAGGCTGGTGCCTGACTTCTTATTGCATCATGTGAAGAGATGTGATGCCTGTTGTTTACTATTGGCAGTGCCACCTCCTATCAGTTGGTGAAGGTGGTGACAGCCAGATATCTCCATTGTAAATATACATTTTCTTTTTGTGATGAGATAATCTGGAGAGTAACATCTTGGCATGATGCAAATCTGTTTCCCAGCAACCTTTTACTAGATTGGATCCTATTCAAATCTGTGGTGATTTTTAGTCTTGCTTTCTACTTGTAGCCACAGTTCCCTATTTTTATTTCCTTGAAACTTGAAACATTCTTATTTTATATACCCAAGTGCTTTGCTCTGTGGACCTATTTCTGCCTCCTGTTGTTTCTGATGGCTCTCACTCATGGTGCCATGTGTGCTTTGTTTGTTTTTATGATTTCTGACCATAAGACTTTATCTGTGATTTCACTGACACCTGGGTAGAAGGTGGAGTCTTTCTGAGAAGACATACTGAAGTTTTGGAGAGCTTCCAAGGTGATGTGAGTTGGGGGTGAAACCTTCAGGCCAGTATCTTTCTTGCACTATGGATGATGCAGGTTTAGTTCTGGTTTAGCTTAAGCATGAACTGAGCATATAACCTTGTTAAATTCCCATCTTTATTGGGTTTCTCCTAAGAGACTAGCCACCTTGAGAGGGCCCTAAGCTTTGTCTTTTGTCACCTCAGAGGCCATCAGAACCCAAATCCCAGGTTACCCTAAGCAGATGCCCTTAGAAAAGGTGCCAGCTGCAGGCTTTGCAGACCTCAATAGGTTGCTATGTCTGTCCAAAGTATAAAGGTGGGGTGCAGCCTGGCCCCAGCCACCCACTATTGGGGTCCCCTCTCCATGGAAATAACCCTGAGACCTTCTGTGCTGCTGCTGCTGTGGTGTCCCAGCAGGATACTATCATGCCATGGCCAAGGGCCTGTGGGACTTTCAGGGTGTTTGTAGTACCTTAAGAAAGGCTGTCAGAGTTAAACAGATTGTATCAGATTCTTTCCTTTTAATTTTTTGAAAGAATCTGTCTGGCTATGATATTTTAAAAAGCAGGCAGAACGAAAGTTATACTCTGGATCAAATTTCCTATTCCTTTGCCCTCTGGGAAGAAAAGACAGGGATAGAGCTGGGCATTGCATAGCACCCCGTGGCTGGTGCTACACACAAGCTGTATGCAGGGGCTGCGGCCTCCGCCCCAGGGGGCCTTGTGCCAGGGGAGATAGGATAATGGGATTATTCTCAATTAGATTAATAAAGAATAATTAGATGTCATAAATCAAGTAATCATAGGATATTGTCATGGGAAAAATATGTAGGTAGAATTAATTAGTTTTCAAATAAAGCGTTTATTTTAATTGCTTGAAATGATGGAGCCCTTAATTGCCGATGCATCATTTTGGACTGAGCATTTCGGCTGTTGTAACAACGTGACGGGTTTGTTCCCTGAAGTTCTGGGGAAACAATAGAGGAGAACTTGATTTCATCACCTCACAATGAGTCTTCTGCTGTGAGGTTCTGGAAACTCCCACCAGGCCGCAGGCAGGTGGCAAGTGTGGGCCGGGCTTCGGCTGGCACTGCCCAAGGCCATTATGCTGAGTGTGTGTGTGTGTGTGTGTGTGTGTGTGTGTTCTTATACATGTGTGAAATGTGTTTGCCTGTGAGCATGAATGGGCATGTGTTTGAGTTGTGAATATGTTTTTGGGTGAATGAGGGTCTGCATGAGTGTGTGCATATCAGTAATGTACAAGTGCATACATATATGCATCTGTAGGTTTGTGAGTGTGCATATGTGAGTCTAAGCATATATATATATATATATATATATATATATATATATATATATATATATGAATTTAAGACTTTAAGCATGTGCATGTATACATTTGTGAATGTGAGTGTATATGTGTGCCTGTATATGTCTTATTCATGAATTATGCATATGTGTATATGTGTCCTGTGTATATGTATGTGTGTGCACACATGACTACAGTGCTGTGCTGCACATGGGAGCCTGGGCAGAGATGGCCTGTCAGAACCTGCTGCCTGGTGGGAGGGATGCCTATCCTGACTTGGTGCTTTTCTATAGGTTGAATTGCTTTAGCCAGGGCAGCGTTCTTGGGCCCCTTTGGAACTGGGACCCACAGCCTTGGATCTGTCAGGACATCCATTTCTCAGGGCCCAATAGCTGCCACTCTGAAATGTCTTCCAGGCCAGCCTGCTGGTAGCATCTCTTTCAGCATTTGGGGCCCTGTCATGGGCCAAAGCAGGAGCATGGGTCCTAGGAGCAATGTGGGGTTGGATCTCTCTCTCTTCCTGCAGGAAGCCATCCTTCCATTTGGGAAGAGTTAGTTGACTTTTAGTCAAAAGTGAGAGGGGCTATTTGACTGAAACTCTTTCTCAGCAACCTCATTCTCTTTGAAAGCCCTTGAGAGAAGCAGGGTTTGGTTGGTATTAGACTGCCACCTGAGGTCCAGGAAAGGCAGACCCTCACTTTGGTGTCAGAATCTGTTCCTGGACCTGACTTTGTGGGTTCTAGCCCTAGCCTCTTAAGCCTAGCAGTCCTCCCTGCACAGGCTATGGTTATCTTTTGAGATCTTTGCTCTGGTCCTTGCCTACTTTCTATGCTCTGTGAAACTTGGAAACTACTCCTTGCTTCTTTTGTAGAAAGAGAGAGATGAGGGCCTGGAGTAGCTTTGGGGAGTAGCTCTAGCAGGTAGGCCGCAGGGCTTGGTGGTGGAGGCATAGCTGAAAGAAGTTGCTCTATGTGGGCTGCCCATTCAAGAAGTCTGCCCCTCTCCTTTCTCCGTACCTACTCATGTGCTGTATGTGACCTCAGCCTATGGCCCCCTCTTCCTTTCACATCCCATTCTGGCCTCCCAGCCAAAGCTTGGTTTTGGAGGAATTCTTTCTTTTTTGCTCCCATTTTCTTTGCCTTCTGGTCCTTCTGATGGCTATGGTGGCTTCCCCAGCAGAGCAGGCCTATTTCTCCCTGCTATGTGCTGCCTGCATGTGGGTGGATTTGGGACTGTTCCAAAGACCAGGGGAAAAGGCCCCCAAGGCACACTGCTTCAGCCCTCCAGCTATCTACTTTGCCTTTTACCTCTGCACCCTCTACTTAGCACTGACACATGTGCCCTTGGCCTTTGGGACAAGTCACTTCTGGCTCTGGGTCACCTCTGCCTCTCAAGAGCAACCACCTGTGGGACTGAGGTGGCATGGAAGGCTCTGCAGGGTTAAATGAGTGGGGTGGGCTCTAAAAGTACATTGGAAGCCTGTCCTTTGCAGGGTGGATCTTAGCAGGTCTTAAACGCAGACTCTGTGATTGAGGAAGTGGCTACCTATCTGTGACAACAGCCCCATGGGGAGCAGCCAGACAGCTCTGCTCTGGCCTCTGTCCATATACTGCAGCACTGGCTACTGTGCTCCTTGGTGATGGCATGCAGACTTTTGAGCACTCAAGCCTGACCCCAAGGGCCTTGGGTAGCACAACCAAACTATTTCCTGCCTCAGTTTTCCCAAAGTAAAGGAGTGCTTCTTACTTATAGGGTTTTTGTAATAATTAGAAATTTGTGAAAATATAGCCCAGGACCCAGTGAGGCTATTTGCTGTAGAAGTGAGGAGGGCACCTCTCCTTCAGCCCCACTGGGACCCTATGTGGTACCTTGCCGAAAATGGATTTTACAAAGAAGTGCACAGATAGACCTAGGAGAAGGTTCAGGAGTCTTTTTTTTTTCAATGTTGGGGATAGAACCCAGGGTCTCAACATTTGCTATGCAAGTGCTCTACCGCTGAGCTACACCCCCAGCCCCAAGAAAAGGATCTTTACCACTGGCAGTGGAAAGGAATTCTTGGAGACAGCATGGGGCTCTATATAGGACCCTGAAGGCCAGAGTAGCCAGGGGTAGGTGCAAGTGCCCTATATTTGTCCAGGAAGGGTTCGGGTTGGGACCTTGTTGGGTACAGAAGCTGATAGGCAGGATAGGGATAGGATATCCAGGGAGGGTTCCCAGATTCCAGAAGGAGCAACCAGAAGAGGTTGGCAGTTGAGGAAAGGATGGGCCTTTTAACTCTGGCATGGACCCCTGTGGCCCATGCAGGGGGATTTGGGGAAACAGGAAGTCTTTCTCCTCCCAAAATGGCCAGGAACACTGAGCAGGGCAATGTCCCAAACACCTTTGCCCAGACTCCCTTCCCGGAGGAGGACAGAGAGTTCTGTCACTCACATGTCTTCCTTTGGTCTACAGGTGACTACGCATGGCAGCCCCTCTTGCACCACAACCACCAGATCCCCAGTTTGTCCTCCGAGGTACACAGTCAGCAGTGAATGCTGTCCATTTCTTTGGAGGAACCCAGGCTCAGGGGTGCCCTCTCCTCTTTTCAGGGTGAGTAGCAGGTGCCCCATCCTGAGCCCAGGAGTAAAGTCAAGTGGTCATAGGCTAGCATGGAGTCAGTTACTTGTTTGAGTACTGGCAGAGGGCTTCAACAACCTGTCACCTATGCTCATTGCACTTTTAGAGACTATTTGATATGTGTCCTTTTGGGAAGCTAGGAGGAACAGGGATACACAGCTTTTCGGTATAGACCATCTAGTTTACATTTTTATGGCATGGCCCTCACTCTGCTCCAGAGTAGCATACACCACCCAAGTTCCCAGGCAAAAACTCCCGATGCCCTCTCAGTTTTACCCTGTGTTCACAGTTAGAGCTGTCAGCTATTATACTTAAATTCTTGATCTGCTGAAATGCCTGTATCCATCAGCTGTGTGTGGTGTCCAGGTTGGTCCCAGAGTGAGCTCAAAGTGTCCACCTGACTCTAGCACCTATCCCTGACCTATGCTTGGCTCTTCTCTAACAGGTCTCAGAGTGGCTTGGTACACATCTGGAGCCTGCAGACACGGAGAACAGTTGCCACCCTGGATGGCCATGGGGGCCAGAGTGTGACCTGGCTGCAGACACTGCCCCAGGGGCCACAGCTCCTCAGGTAGGTCACAGTGGCAGTGAGTCAATGGAATCCCATCAGGCCCTCCAGCAAGAAGCAAGAGCTCCCTAACAGAGGCCCTTGTGGTTCTCACTTAGCTGCTAGGGAAGAAAGGGGGTGACATGAAGGATTCCGGGAGCAGTAGCTAGCTTGACCAGCATGTAGGGGAGCAAGGGCAGCCTTTTGTCCTTGGGAAAGCATGTAGATCTGACTTCTACAGCCCCATCATCCTCACTGGGGCTCTTCACTGCTCTGAGATGGGTCTGGGAGGTGATATACAGGAGATCAGAGGGCTGGAGCTGGTGACATTGAGGTGGCTGCTGCCAGCCTGGGTGTGAGAAGGTGGAGAAGGCCAGGCTTCATGGAGGGCATCAGATTGTGACTTGGAATTAGGCAGAGTTGACAGCATCACGTGTTTAGGGGAAGGAAGTGGAATGAAGCATATGTTTGGAGACTAAGAGCCAGTAAGGAAATAAGTAAACATAGCAGGTCAAAGGCTGGGTGCTGAGACTCTTGGACCTGGAGCCCTGGCCTTGTGTCCTTTCACTGAGTTATACTAGCCCATCTGACTGTCACATTGTGGTTTGTTTTAGTGTACTTCTGAAGTAGGTGCTGTGATGGGGCTAACTTCCTGCCTATAGGCCCTATAGCATTTCCTGTGGTTTTTGCCCATTCGGTCTCCTTTTTCCAAAGTCCTGAGCCCATGTGTTATAGACTGTATGTGTGTTTTTGTGCATGTTTTGTCTCCTACAAATTACTTGGGCATCATTTATAGGCTGCATCATAGTTGGAAAGGACCATAGAAGTTGCCCATCCCCATTGAGATACTCACTCACCCAGCCTCTTATTAACTCAAGGGTGGATTCTGGTATCCTTGGTCTGTCCCCAGGCAATGTGTTTAGAGTGGTCTGGTTGCTGGTTATCCAACCCTCTTAACTGTGATGCTATCTGGACAGGTAACTACTTAGAAGAACCTGATAAATGTTTAAGGATGGTTCTTCCTGCAGCCTGGTGCCAGTCTGTGGCTTCAGAGCAGGATCTGTTATTCCTAGTGGAAGAGACCACATGTGAAGAAGCCACAGAGAGCCTGGCCAGTGAACAGCATGAGGGAGTATGAGGGATTTGGGGATGGACAAACTCAGGGACCTCAAGTTAAGAGGCATCTCTTGGTAGTTGACTAGGGCTGCATTTTGGCATTGCCACTGCAACATTGTGGAGATGGTGGAATCAGGGACACTAGGTGGGCCAGAAAGGAGCAGGAAAGGGGAGATGAATGAGTAAGAGGCTTCCCACAGGGAGAGGAAAGGACAGGGCATCATAGGGACAGGGAGAGTGTGCAGGGAACCAATAAGAAGTCCTCTTTCAGGGCTACCTGTCTGCCATAGCAGACTGTTTGTCTTCAATCACAGGAATATCTTCCCCTAAGCAGGTTCAACTGTTGTCAGCCCAGGAATGCACCAAGTAAAATATCCACCTTCTTGAGCAGCCTTTGGCCCCACATGGGCCTGCTGCCACCTTCTGAGACTTGGCACCCATTACGTCCAGGCCATTCATGAGCCATTACCTTCATGGCCTAGAATTCCAGAAGGACAGACTTATTTTCCTGTTCTAGACTTGATGCTCAGGACTCCTGGGTGCTGTGGAGTCTAGTTCCCAGAGTACAAGTCCTCTGACAGTCTGCAGAGTACTTTTGTGCCTGACTCATGCTGTATCACCACCCCAAAATGGCTGGCAGATGGCCGAGGGACCACAGTTGTTCAAGAGGGTGATGGCTCTGACTTTTGTGCTTGTAGAATCCTTGTTGAAGGAGCTTAACTCCTTTCTGGCTAAGCTGCCCCAGTTCTCCTCACTTTCATGTAGAGAACTCTGTGTGGTTTTAGTCTTTCCTTGATTTTCAGAGTAGACCTCATTTCCATATATTCCTCTAAGCCACTTGCACGAAGAGTGATCATTTGTAAATGTTCTCCCTGAGTTTTCAGCTGAGAGATAGACCCTTGAGGGCCTTCTGCTCCTCATGGGCCCAGATGCCTGGGTGGCCTTCACAATCCTTTGGGCTGGGACCATGGAAGGCACACTCAAAGGGCAAGCTTAAAGCAAGTGTTTGATGGTGCCTCTTATCCCAGCTAGAATGGTGCTTCAGCAGACCCTCTCCTCTCCAGGTAGGGCCCCTCTCTGAGTAGGGCTCCTCTCCAGGCAGGTGAGGCCATGGGTCAGGAAGCCTGCAGGTGGCGACTGCAGGTGTGGAATGCCCAGGTGCATTTGCATTGCACTAGAGACTACAGCCCGCAGAGGCTGGCTATACTTGGACTGTAATCAGCTGTGTTTGGAAGCCAAGTCTCTCCAAGTGGTCCTTGAAGGGGGCTATGAGCTTTCATGTTTGGGGGAGGCTAGAGGATAACCAGCTCCACCTGTACCTGTACCATGATAGCCACCTCAGCAGGAAGTTTCTTTTACCTTTTTTATGGTGAAATGTAACATACTTAGAGAAAAGTGAAAGAATGAGTGTACAGACTATTGCATCATCACAGAGGTAGCACCTGAGTAACCACTTCCTGGTCAAGAAGTGGGTGCTGCCAGCCCTGCAGCCCCACTCCCCCAACCCTACCTGCCACCCTTAAAAATGTTTCCTGCCCTCCCCAATGACATAGGGAGACCCAATGCCTTGTTCTTGCTTTACCTTCTTAATATATGTCTCAAAAAAAGTATAGATTAGTTTTTTCTGTTTTTTTTTTTTTAACTTAAAAAGGAACAACAGCTTCCTCTGTGTCTGATTTCTGTCACTTGTCCTAATCTCTGCAAGGTCCACCATGGTACATATAGCTACAATTAGTTGTGTAAAGGTTTTTTGGTGGGAAGAGGAGCATACTGGAGATTGAACTCGGGGCACTCAAACATTGAGCCACATCCCCAGCCTTATTTTATTTACAGATAGGGTCTTACTGAGTTGCTTAGCACCTTGCCATTGCTGAGGTTGGCTTTGAACTCACAATCCTCCTGCCTCAGCCTCCTGAGCTGCTGGGATTACAGGCGTGTATCACTGCACCCAGCTTCAATTAGTTGTGTTGTGGCTATTTTTTTTTTTTTTTAATGGTATCTATTAGATGCATTTTCCTGTTTCACTTACTATGCTCCTGTAGGTGAAGATCTGGGTTGCCCACTTGGGACTGTTATGAATGAAACTGCCAGGACAACTCCTATCTGAGTCTCTTGGTGCCCAGATGAAAACATGTCTATGGGTTGGAACCTGCACCTAGAGCTGGGATGTCTGGGCCACAGTGCGTACACACATTGGACTTGTCAGCAGATGTTCATCTGTACCCCTGCAGCAAGATCACCTCCCTCCTCTGTTCCCCCTCAGGACAAGGGTATTTCTGAGTATAATTTGAATTGAGTTTTCTAATCACAGTGGACCTCATTCTTGTATTTATCAGCCATTGGGATAAACTCTTTTTAAAAAAAAAAATTTTTATTCTTTAGTTATAGGTGGACACAATACCTCCATTTAGTTCTTTTTTTTTTTTTTAATGTGGTACTGAGCATCGAACCCAGTGCCCCACACATACCAGGCGAGCACTTTTCCTCTAAGCCACAACCCCAGCCCATTGGGATAAACTCTTAAATACCTCTTTGATCTCTTGCCTGTTCTGCCAAATTGACTGCCTTTTTCTTAGTGACATAAAGAGTTCGTTTTTAGAATTTTTATATCAAAAATTCTTTCTCTAACATGATGGCTCACTTTTTTTACTCACTTAATGGTGTCTTCAGTGAACCAAAGTTCTCATTTTAATGGAGTCACATTTGCCAGGCTTTCCCCTCCTGGTCTGTGCTTCTGGTTCTTGTGGTGGAATCCTGCACTAAGTCCATGGAGGCCCCTCCCTTTCTCCCAGGATATCACAGTTCCTTTTTAGATCCACCATTTCTCTGGAATTCTTTGCTGATGTGCTCTGTGTCCCCATTGTTCCTTCCTTCATTCCCCTCCAGATTCAACCATGTTGGTCTCTGAGGTCACAGACAGGAAAGGGGGGTGCCAGGTTGGGAAAGAAGGTGGTCAGGTTGGGAGGCCAACCATATCACCCAAACAAGCTCACAAGTTGGGCATGTCAGTAAATATCAGGAAGATAATAGGAGCTGGAGTTTTCCCTGTGCAGAGAAGAGAGTTATAAACATGAAAAGGGGGGAAAAGGTGACATGGAGGTGGCATTTGTGAGTGCTTAGGTTGAGGTCCTTTGAAGATTAGGTTGGTGTAACATCAGAATTCTTCCCTATAGAATTCTAACCAGACAAGGGGAAATGGTGGCTTTGTGGTAGACAGCCCTAGTGGGGACCATCTTGACCCAGTGGACAGGATTGCTATCCCCAGCAGTGGGCAGATTGTATCACGTGCCTCTTGGTTAGATGGCTGAGGCAGATGCAGCATCGTTTTCATGCTCATGGTCTGTCTCCCCAAACATGACTTGGGACTTGGGACTAGGCAGTGACACCCTAGGAAACAAAGGTGTGCCAGGGTCATGATGGATGGGAAAAGGAGGGATTATGGCAGGGTGTAGGAGGCATATGAGAACTGGCAGCCAGTGTAGTGTGCATCCATGTGGGGCTTTACAGATAGCACTAAGACATTGGAAAAGTGCACATCTGGGGACTACCTCTGGATGGCTGTATGTTGGTAATGAGGTGGTGTCCTTGTTTGAGGAGGGGCACAGGGAGAAAATGGGCACATATGGAACAGATGAGGGGCTGGAGAAGGGCCGAGCTGGGACAAGTAATCACTAAGCAGGAGGCCTTCATGCTCTTTTCACAATTCTCTTCTGAGTACAAAACTGATGTAAGAAGTTACAATCATGTTTTTGCATCTGTAGAAGATTGGTCCCAGGATCCCCTGGAGATAGCAAAATCTGTGGATGTTCAAGTCCCTTTTATACAATGGTGTAGTATTTGCATATAACCTATGCACTTCCTCCTGTATACTTCAAATCATCTCTATAATAATGTTAATGCTATACAAATAGTTATTATGATGTATTGTTTGGGGAATAATGACTAGAAAAAAAGTCTGTTCATGGTCAGTACAGAAACAAATTTTTTTGGACATCATTTCTGATCTGCAGTTAGTTGAATCTGCAGATTCAGACCCCTGGATACAGAGAAACAACTGTACTTGAAAAATAGATCAGTCCTTTGCTCACTGCTTGGTACACACTGGTCTACCCACTACCCTCAGGTGTTGAACACACTGCTTAGCTGTCTTCTCCATTTTAGGCTCTGATCCTTCCTTGTGTCAAGGACACCTTCCTATTATCCTTATTGTCATAGGTTTATGCTGGGCCGTACCATCCAGCAGAGACTCATGAAAGCCATCTGAGTATTAGTTCTCCTAATGTCCAGGCACATTTAAACTTCAACCTAGCAGGTTTTCCAGAAACCAAATAAAGATTAGGATTGAGTTGCTCTGGGTCAGCACAGGGAGATTATCCTCCACAGTGCCAGGTTCTCTGAAGCATGGACACCTCACACAATATGGTTCACACAGAGAATGTTGGTAACATGTAGACATTCAGTCCAGCTTTGTTCAATTTATTCAATTTCCCATTGATGTCTTCTTGTACAGCATGGTTCACTGAGTTTTCCTGGGTCTTTAGTCCCCTATGGACTGAGATTGTTTCTCTGTACTTTATTTTTAATGACCTTTGCTCAGGTGTATGCAGAATGCCCCTCTGGTTTCCTCAGGATTAGATGAGGGTCATGGTTTTGGGGAGGAAACCCACAAACTCAAATGCCCTTTTTGTCAAGAAGGCATCCCATAACTCATTGTAGGTGAAGTTGACCTTGATCACTTAGGTCAGGAGGTATCTGCTATGGCCTACTGTCAATATCCAACAGGTGAGTATCCTTAATTCAGAAATCAAAGTCCAAAGTGCTCTGAAGTCTGAAACTTTTTGAGTGTCATGTCAGCTCTCAAGATGTTCAGGATTTTGGAGCATTCAAGTTTCATATTTCCAGATTAAGAATGCCAAACCAGTGAAGTCTTTGCATATGTTTCCAAAATCTGAAATACTTATGGTCCCAAGAATTTTGAATAAGAGATCCTCATCCTGTATTGCTCCCTTGGTTCCTGAGAAGCAGATCACTATGTCTTGTCCACACTCAGGTGAGGAGAATTATGTTCTACCTCCAGAAGGGAGAAGGTCCAAAAACATGCGGGTCTTTGTTTAAACCAGCATAGTTAAGAAATATTTAGGGGAAGACACTTTGAGCTTATACAAATGCCTTGTGTCTCTTTAAGATTTCACCCAATAAAGTTAGCATCCATCAGTGGATTCTGCCTGTAGTGGCTATTACTGGGGTATTCTCATAGGGGGCTTTTTATTTGGGAGGGGTACCAGGGATTGAGCTCAGGGGTGCTCTACCTCTGAGCTATGTCCCCAGCTTTCCCCATCCTTTTTAGAAAAGTTTTCCCTAAGTTGCTGAGGCTGGCTTTGAATTTGTGATCCTTCTGCTTCAGTCTCCTGAGTCTCTGGGTTTACAGGTGTGTGCCACCATGCCTGGATCTTATGGGGACCATTTATTTCCATCATTCCTCCTCATTTTCCTTTTGGTAGAATTCTACATTAATTGAAACTATGGAACATATAAGGAAGGTTTGTTCCTACTTCCATATTTATTTATATGTTCACTCATAAGGGGCTCATGGAGATTTACTTCATTATTTAGGTTAAAATCTAATATTAATATTTATCACTCAGATTGTTACAGCTTCCTTTTTATGTGCCCCTATCCTTTATTTGTTTTTTTAAAAGTATTTCCTGGGGCTGGGGTTGTCCTCTGCACCACATAAAAAATAAATAAAATAAAGGCATTGTGTCCAACTACAACTCAAAAAAAAAAAAGTATTTCCTTACTTGATGCTGGAACTCATCTTGGTTTTTCCCTTACCCCAGCCCTAGAATCAGATATTTCTCCAGAAACCTGGATCCTGTAATTGGAGAACAGGATAAACTGAACCTGGGCTATTGAGTGGGCTCATTACTTCTAGGTCTCTCAGTGGGAAGTGCTAGGACATCTAAGGACATGCCACCCACACTAGCATACATATCTACATTTATCTCCAGGTCTGTCTGCACATGTATGTAACTACACACACATTCATGCTGAGCTCTTGACTTTGATACAGCCCCACAGGTCTATTAGGTCTCCCTGCTTCTTTATAATGACTCTCTATGAAAGGCAAACAAGGCTTCGGCCATCCACCACTTATTCAAATATTTGTTGCACTCTGATGGACCTGGATTCAGAACTGTTTCCCACCCGCTATGAGAAACCAAGTTACCACCTAGACCACTGTATCTCTACAGGGTTATCTTTAACTTTACAGTTGGAACACTTCTCCAAACTCCTTTAGTTGGCTTCTATCTGCCTTCTCCCCCCTGAGTTGTTATCCAGTTTGTCACAGTGCACAGTCCTTCCTGGGGCTCCTGATATCCTGCTGGGTTGGCTGGTTGTTTTTAATGTACATACATTGAAGTTTATTCTGTGTATGGGGGTCTAGAGGTTTAGCAATGCATGGTCATGAACACCCCTTCCCCAGGATCACACAGAGCAGCTGTGTGCCCTGACATTGGGTGCCTTGGATGCAGACTCAGGTGTGAATACTTGGATATCTGACACTCATAACAGCTGCTATCTCTGAAAACATGTTTACCTTTGGCCTTGGGGGACCAAAGGCTCAATGCTGGTCAAGTGGGTGTGCCTGTGTTCACTGGGTGTCTCACAGCATCTTCCTCATGATTTGCCAGTCAGGGCCGGGATCTGCAGCTGTGCCTATGGGACCTGGCAGAGGGCAGGAACACCATCATGGACTCTGTGCACCTGGAAAGTGTGGGCTTCTGCAGGAGCTCCATCCTGGCTGAGGGGCAGTTGCACTGGATGCTTGCTGTGCCAGGGAAGGACAGTGATGAGGTAGGGACTCTTTAGGCTCCTTGTTCCATGAGCCTCTGGCTCTGGGCTTCTCTTAACAAATATACTCATCCTCCATACCTGGTAAGGGGGCACACTGCTGCCTGAAAGACTCTGTGGAGCTGATGGCTGCAAGTCTAGGGACTAACAACTTCACTGTAGTTCCAGTGACCTCAAGCTAGTGCATGGCTGGCTCCACCTAGTTCTGGTCACCTGTGAAGTGGTCTTGGACCCATACTTGCCCTGTGGCCTACTTGAGTCCCCTTACCCTTATCCTTTACTGCAACCAGAGGGATCTTCTTGAGTCATCCTCCCAGGGCACTTAAGAATCAGAAAGGAGCCCAGAGAGAGGGACCCGTATCTCAGAGGCCTTGTTACCCAGTAGCCTTGTTACTTTGTTACCCATGGAGAAGAGTGGCTTAGAATGGCTAAATGTTCAGGCCCAAGGCCCCTAGGGGCAGTTGCGGGAGAAACCACTCACATCCTCAGGGATCTTAGACTAAAGTAGAAGGAATGCTGGAAAAGGTGGTGGACAAGAGACCAAGGCCCTGGTGAAGTCAGAAGTAGGGCATTAGAGCAGCAATCATAATTGCAGGGCTACAGGTAAATAGGAAGATGGGGTTCATTGGGAGCAGGGAGGTCATGGTCAGATTGTTCTTAGGCCAGAGTGACCAGAGGCATTGGTTATGTGGGAATGATCAGCTGAATAGTGTTATTCAAGCCCCCAGGATCAGAGAAAGCAGAGTCCACCAAGGGAAGGGGTGCCCATGACATGAGGAAGGGCAGAGAGCAAGAAGCCAGGGTGGAGGGTAGTATAAAGGAGGAAGGTAGGGCTATAGGCCCAGCTTCCGAGGGAGATGAAGGGAAAGTGTAGATCATTTGGCCTGGTAAGTGTGCAGCACAATTGCTCCAGGGCCCAGAGGGTAAGTGAGGAAAAGAAGGGGACTTTTGTCTATCACCCTGTCTTCCTGTGGGCCTGTGGTCCTTTAGGGCCTATAGTGCTGGGCAGGGCGGCTCCTGCTGATGCTGGCAGATCAAGCCCCATGTAGTCAGTTAGACTTGGCCCTCACCCAAGAAAATTCATTTTGTCTTCAAGTAGATCCAGTTCATAAATAATGAGATAGCAACAGGCATTTATTTGTTCATGATTGCATTTAAATTACCAATTAGGAGCTACATACACTTTTCTTGCCAATTTGCCAAAAACCTGTTAAAAGTTTTATTAATGTGAGAAGGAGGGGCATGCTTCCCCCTGGACAGTGGAAACAGTCAGTGCCAGCTCCTTCTGAGCCACACACTCACATAATGCCATCCTGATGTGTGTGAGAGCTCTTTTTCAGAGTGGTACTGTTGGCCATCCTCTGTGTCCATCTCAGCCACCCCTAAGCCACTGGCCAGCACAAAGTCAGCCTGCCATCTTTCTCCCTGGAGGCTATATATCCCTGCACGGTTTTAACCAGCTTTCTGGCTCCTGGTTCTCCCAGTACAGGTGGTATTTTTCAGGAGCAACGGTCTGGGGACCATGCACATCCTGGAGAAATGGTTTGTTTTCCACATTCCCACCTGGAATCTGCCTGGACTAGCCCCTTGAAAAGTATTGCTGGCCTGTGCCCAGACAATTCCTGGGGAGCGTGCTCCTGCCCTGCTTGGCCATCTGGGTGGCCACACTTGCCCCAACTCAACATTTTTCCTTCTGAAAACAAAAGTTGCAGTTGGGTGCCAGATGGAAAGTTCTTGGTTTCTGTAGGAGGCTCTGAACACAGGGCAGGAACTCCTCCTCCAACCTCATAGAGGCCTGGGCTGGGGTACCCAGACCAGGTAGATGTAGGCCTGCTTTATGTGCTCAGGCCCTGAGCTCTCTGCTCTCTTGCACACAAGTTATGGTACCACCACTCCTCCATCCTCTCTCCCACAGTTTTCAGCTCAGGCTCTCAGGACTGCCTTGATTTTCACCTTCTCCTTTCCCCTTGACAGAGGATAGACTTGCTATATGACTCATACCTTTCCTCTGGCCTACTTGAGTACCCTTTACTGCAACCAGAGGGGTCTTCTTGAGCCTGCAGATGGGAACAGATCCTCCTTTAACAACATGTGGATGTGGGCTGTGCAAATTTCTGCCTCCTTCAGCACCCCCGACCTGGTACATGCAAGTTTTGTGGCAGCTGCTCCTTCCCACTATATTTGGGTTACAGTTCTAGCCCTTGCCTACTGGCTGTTCTCTACAAGCCACACCCTGTACCTATAGCTCCTCACACAGTGACTGGCTGATTCTGCAAAAAAAAAGCTGAGGCTGAGCCACTATGGGGACCTTGATGAGAGCACCCTGCCCAGAGAGCACCACAGCTCAGCCTGCCATTGGTGAATGCATTGGCAGAACTCTAGCCGAAGACCCAGGCTGCTCAGTACTCTTCCCTGCCCAGAGACTACCCTGGACATGGCCCCACCCCAGCACATTCATGGTAGAACTAGAATTCAGACTTAGGGACCCAGGCCCCTTGTCCTGGATGGGTTGGTGAAAGCAGCACAGCTCTCACTTGCATGGGCACTGAACCTTCAGACATTGTCCTCCAACCCAGCCTGGGAGGCTGAATCAGTAGGTATAAGTTCTGTCCAGTTGATACCCCAACCTCTCTGGACCTTAGATTTCTCATGTGCAAACCAGAAGATACTTGTGTTGGCTGGCCTTTGTTTCCAGGGTGGCTGAATATCAGTGTGATTGCTAATTTATTGATAGAGATACACTCTCACTCTAGGGAAGTTCAGGGCCAGCAGAGACCCCCTAATTTGCAGAGTGATGGCAGAAGGCACAGGTAGGCACAGGTAGGCCTGACTTGCTAAAGAACTACTTGACAACAAACACAAGGCAGGAGGAACATTTGGCCAGCCCTGCGCTACATTGTGTCTTGAGGGAACCCCCTACTCCTCTGAGTTCAGAGGAGTGCTGCCCTGTCCCCCTGAGGAAGCTCAAATATGCAGGGACACAGGACAACTAGGGACCTGATTCTGGCCATTGATGCTCCAGAGCCCAAGTCTTATTATTGTGGCTTTGGCTGTCCTCTAGGGAGAGAGTTGGGTAGGGCCTATCCTGTCTGGTCAGATAGGCAGTCCACTCAGGTTGACAGGCCAGCACATGAGACTGGACTATATTGGCCACAAGGTATGTCTCCAAGCCCAGTTTTAGGAGGGCCTGGCATCTGCGCAGGCTGGTACAGGGGGACTAGAAAGCCAGGATCCAAATGGACTTTCCCTAGGCACTGCACATCATGCTTGTTTTGTAGGCTGCTGGTGGGTCCCAGGTCCTATGCAAGTCATTGTACTACTTGATGTGTCTGAGTTGGTTCTAAGTGTTTCTTGTATAAAATCTATGCCAAGAAAGAAAGACAAACAGGAGGGAGAATGGCCAAGGTAAGTCAGGGCCAACTGAGTTAGGTCTGTTCTGCCTAGATGGCAGAATCAGGAGAGCCAGAGGCAGCCATCAGTCGGTGATGGGCTGGTCACTCAGGAATGATGCAAGCATTTGTTTCACAATAGCCCTGGCAGCACCCAAGCCCACGAGCCTGTGCAGCCTAATTAGGAGACTCAGCTTCCAGGTCCCCGTGGGGAGGGGGGCAGACAGAAACTCGCAGCAGCCTTGGTTAATCGCCTTAAAAGTCTCTTGTTTGTATAGCACAAACTCAATTTGGCATAGGCCCAAATCAACTTGTTTTTTTACTGTCAGGTTCAGATTCTGGAGATGCCATCCAAGACGTCAGTGTGCACCCTGAAGCCGGAGGCAGATGCCAAGCCAGGCATGCCCATGTGCCTGAGGCTGTGGCAGGTAAGGCAAATGTTCACCAGCCACACCCTGCTGCCACACCCGCCAGACTGTGAGTCATGCCCCATTCAGGATTTGATTTGTTGTCAAACCAATTGGACAGTATTCCCTTTAGAGAACATGTGTACCTGCTACCACAGCCCCAGTGTCCCTGGCCAGACCTGTGCTCCTACCCTTACACCCCCACACTCCCAGTTGCTGCTGATTCTAATTCCAAAGGGCTCCTGCAAATTTCTCAGAGAGCCCTGGCTTTGGTGCTTATCCTCTGCAGGCCCAGTTGGGCTCACCCTTCAGGGTAACCTCCTGCTGGTGATGGTAAGGAGGGGACAGAAGTGTCAGCTGCCTCCCAATGGGGATTCAAACCCTTCTCCTTGGCACCTTGGTCCCAGGCTTTGCTGAAGCCAAAAGAGAAAATACTGACTAACTTTGGCAACCCCTCATGGCCCTCATTATGCTTGGAATTAATTCTTGTGCTTCTCTTAGAGGTAGGAGTGGGCTTCTTAACACTTTGACTGCAGCCCCCTGGGAATTTCTGACCCACAGCCATTTCTTCTCAGTTTTATTTTCTAGTTAGAGTTAGGAGGCCTCTCCTGATGTTGTTAGCAGAAACTGGGGCCCTAGTTTTCAGTGGGGCCTGGGATGGGTCCTCCCCCAGGCAGCCTTTCTGGAGGTGAAGCCTCTTTCCTAGTGATCCGCCCAGGTCAGCACTGGCCCAGTGTTTCCCCTCCTGGGGTCACTGGTATCTACAGTAGCAGAGTAGATGTGTTCATTCTAATGTGTTCATTTGCAGAGAACCCCAGAAACTTCTTTGACATTGCAGAACCCATGGTGGGCAGATTACTGAGCAACACCTATCTCAGGAACAATTGATAAACCTCAGGTCATCTTCCTAGTCCTGGGTGCTAAGAACAACCCTGTCCATGGTCAGGGAGAAGCAATTCCTGCCTTGTGCCTGCTGCTTCTTTGAACTCAGAAATTTCTAAGTGTTAGATGAGATGGGCCTCTGTAGTTTGGAAGTATCTAATTACCACACAGGAACCACTGGGGTAGGCACTCCCAGAGACCCTGTCCCAGGTATTTCTGTCCACCCACATGAGCAGAAAGATTGCTGGCCTATCTTGCATCTGGTGCCATCTGCAGTTTCTTGACTGAGAAGGTCAAAGTTGGAATTCAAGATTTTCAAAAAGCTGATCCTGGGTGTTCCCTCTGCTGCTGGAGCCTCTTGGAGAGAAGCCCCTAGGGAATTTGAGGAGGTGGGGGCTTCTGAGAGGTTCATAAGTCTCATGAAATGATGAAGTAAAGGGCCTCATGCTGTCACTTTTGCAACCATGCCCTAGGTATTAAATAGAGCCTAGGTCATTGCACTTAATGTGTCCACACAGGGTTCCTTTGTAGGCTCATTGGTACTTTCCTGGAAGGATAAACACCCCCTCACTCCACACACACACCCCTAAATGCCACAGGCAGTGACCATGATGCTCGTAGGACCTGGGGGGCAGGTCACCTGCAGCTGTACTTCTATTCCACTCCCTGAGAAATGTGGGTCATTGCACAATCATCCAAAAATTCCAACAGAAAAATGTGTAGAAAGGGATGTACAAACTTGTTAAGGTAATTAATATAGTTGACAGAAGGACAAATCACGGTTTTGCTGGTGATATGGATCTAACATTAAGTATTCAGCTGAAAAAAGTAACTTGGAATGTTCCTCTTTTTCTACCCAAACCTAAAGATCTGGGTTATAAACTTGTTAACCTTAGTGTGGCAGAGTGACTAGACTGGATATTTTTTTCCTGAAACATTGAGGTCTATTATTTTGTTTCTCAAAGCAACTGACCTACATTGTTTATTATTGCATAAAAGGTCAGGATCCAAATCAGGCTAGAGGCAGTATCATTGGCACCAACCTCAGAGCAAGGACTTCCCAGTTCCCTACTCTCTGGCCCACTCCAGCTGGACCCACCTGAGTTGGGAAACAGAGAGTTAGGGGCTCCCCATGGGACTCTGGCCTGCTATAATCCCTAGGTCACATAGGGACAGGACTACAGAGTGAATTCTTAGCTCCAGATCTTAGTTGGGGATGAGGGGAGGAGCCAGAGATAAGTAGATCAGAAGACTACAGCCTCTTATCCCTGAAGGGGCCCAGCAGCACCAAGGGTGTGGCCACCAGGGGTTCCCCTACCATGATAGCCTATCTGATCCATGGTGTCTGATACTGGGAGGCTATAGAAACCTGGGGCATAGCAGAGAGCTAGATGGCCAGGTGCTGGACTAGTAGTAGTGGCTGGGAGGGACCAAAACTATAGGGCAACTCCCTCCAGACCAGGCTGGTTCTTCATTTGTCATGGAACCATGACAGGTGGATTATCATACCCAGCCTCTGAATTAAGTTGTGCTTAGCCCTCAGGGGCCACAGCCTTCACTCGGAGACTGGCCAGAACCAATGTCAGCGATAAAGATAAACCCTTGGACCAGTTTCAGCTCATAAGACACAGAAGGAGAGTATCCTATGAAGGAGGGAGAGTGGGAGGCTTGGCTAAGGCTCTAAAATTGGGAGTAGATGCCACCATAAAGCACTACCCTAGGAGAGTAGATCCAAGTGACCCTATGCAAGTTCTTTAGAATGGCTTCTGGGGCAGTATACATTACCTCAGCTGTTAGCAGGGGCTGGTGTGTGTTCTTGGTTGGGTGTAGAGCTCCAGGCTTCTCCCACCTGGTTCTGACACTGACCTGGATACAGACAAAGCTGTTGGCCCAGGGAAGCACATCTGGTAAAGGCTTGATGGCCTACACAGACTTGTAGTACAGAGAGTGTTTCTACTTTGGCGCACTCTATGTCCATATCTGCGAGAGGAATGACATGAGTCTGCACAAATAATTTCCAAGCAAGTGATCTGAAAAGCACCAGTATGAAACTCTTCCCTGTGATGAAACTACAGGAACAGCACAGCAGCACCTCTAGGGCCTCTGCCCGGTGGAGACAGGGCCAGCACATGGGGATCTGTGCATCCAGAGACCCTAGGCAGACCTGCCTCTCAGGATTGAGCTCAAGGGCACAGGGTGGGCTTGGCAGGGGAGTAGGACGTGAATCTAGATGATGCCTAAAGGGAATTGCTCAGGAAGACACAGAGCTGCCAGTACCTCCTTCTAGAATCCTCCTTTCTTCCTGTTTTTTGTTTGTTTGTTTGTTTGTGTGTGTGTGTGTGTGAATTTGAATTACCATCAGGATGCAGTCTGTATACAAGCCATTTCTGGGGACATATGGAGGTTGCCTCTAGACCAGCTCTGGCCTTGGCAGGTTCGCCATATCTACCTACAAGCCTGGGGTGATTTTGCCCTTCCTGTTCCTGCTATAGCCCTGCAGCCATCCCTCCAGTGGACCCAGGCTTAGCTTCTCCAGTTCCCATAAAACATATCCGCAGCCTTAGCTTCTCACCCCCAGCATTTTTTTTTCCCTTTGAGATAGTCTTGCTCTATTGCCTACACTGATCTTGAACTCCTAGACTCAAGTTATCCTCCTACCTAAAGCTCTGAAGTAGTTGTGACTACAGCATGCTCCACTGTGCCTGTCTCTTATGATACTAATGAGAGCTATGGTCTTTGTAATGTTTGAGGATGTAGTGTCCACTCCAGTAACCCAGGCCTCCTTGCCCAACCATCCAAGTTTTCTTTTGGTTAACTGCTTTTAGCTAGGACTGATGGCTGCATCCCCCAGGGTGACTTGGAATCCTGCAGTGCTCTTCTTCTGTAGTTGTTTCAGAGGCTAAATAAACGAGGCATCCGCCCAGGGCGCAGAGCCCTCTGACCCTCATCCTCATTCATCATGATAGCAAGGACTGCTAGAGCCTGCTCACACCAGACTTCCAGGGGCGGGGGCTTCCGCAGCCACGTTGACAAAGCACAGAAAGTTCGTTTTTCATTGAGATGGAGTTTGCAATCTTCGTGGCTGGTGGTTATAGACAGGTGACCAATCCTAGCAAGGGGGTCCTTGATCCTCTGGCCTGAGAAGTGGAGGCAGTTAGATAGGTCCCCATCAGTCTCAAGGCATTGGCAAATGCCCAGATGTGCCCCTTTGGGCAAGATGAAATGCTGGCAGCTGGTAAGAAGCAGCATGGCCCTGTGAGGCCTTAGGGGCTTGGCTGGTATACTCAGGGATTTGCCCTCCAGCCCCTCAGGTGCTTAGCAATGGCCCTGCTAAGACCTATATTGGTTGTAGTAGTCACCAAGGTACTCAGGTATACAAGGTATACAGGAGAACACAAAGGAGTGCAAAGCCTCAGGAGTATCATGAGAGCATAGGAAACTACTCCCAGGCTGGTCTACCCCACCTCTGGGCCCAGCATGAGAGGTAACCTGTCTCTGGAGCCCTGTCTTCCTGTAACTCACTGAAGGTAGGGGACTTCAGGGAGCTGACCACTCTGTTGTTCCCTGCAGGCTAACACTGACCCCCGCCCTCTCCTTCTGGTCGGCTATGAGGACGGATCAGTGGCCCTGTGGGACATCTCAGAGAGGAAGGTGTGCAGCCGCATTGCCTGCCATGGGGAGCCAGTCATGGGCCTTGACTTCGACTCCCAGAAGACCAGAGGCATCTCAGGCTCTGCAGGGAAGGCGCTGGCTGTCTGGAGCCTGGATGGGCAGCAGGCCCTACAGGTCAGTGTGCCGGCCCTGGACCTCATTTATCCTGCTCTGCACTAACAGTCTGATAGGCTGAAACAATATTTAGGCATGAAGAGGAGCTGCTGCAGATCCCTAGCTAATTAATCACTTGGAGGTAGTGCAGGAGGGCCTGTCCGCTGCTGGCACAGGGGAAAGGGGTGTGGGCGTGGGCCAGCCGTTCACATGGTTTGGGTTTCTCCTAGATCTCAAGTTAACAGCCGTCACATCTTGTCCATCTACAGAAAGGCACGTAGAGTCCAGGCAGAACCAACCCCTTTGTGAAAACTCAGAGGAATTTTGTCAGTAAGGAATTGATTAATAAAAAAAAAAAAAAAAAAAATCAAAAACCAAACTCTGGAATGCTCCACAGAACCATGGCCCCAATGGTGGTCTATAACCTAACTCTAGGGAGGTTGTTGCTCATGGGTAGCAGGAAACAGGCTATGAGGCCTCAGATCTGAGTGGGGGTTGCTGGAAATCTCCTCATGATGTCTCATAGGCTGTTCCAGTTGGTGTGGCTTGAGGATTGCCTGTTGTCCAAGCTTGGACCAATGGCCACAGTGCCCAGCACAGGGTGGCCTGGCTTGTGTGCTTTCCCCCATTTGGGATGGGAGAGTTTGGGTTAAGGTGGGGGTATATGAGACATGCTCAGACCTTTCTCTGGTGCAGGTCTTCTGAGGAGCCACAGGCCATAGGCCCTGCCTTGGCCTGGGTACATACTGGTTCTGGGGGTGGGCAAAGAACTCCATTCACCAGGAGCCTCAGAAGACAAACTTGGCCTCCACCAACAAGTAGAAACTTTGGAAACAGCCCTGTGAAAAAGGTCTGATGTGGAGGGGTGCCAAATGGGAGTTGTGTTGTCCCTCAGGGTGACTGGTAGCAGAAGCCATAGCAGGCCCAGCTCTCAGCCCCATTGGGGCTTTTGGACCCACAACACCAAAGACAGGATCCATGCCTGCCCTCATCTGTGGTGTGTGGTATTCCAGGCTTCCCACACACTACAGGAGTGTACAAAGAGGACATTGCCAAGACCCTTCCTAAGACAGGGAGGCCTATCTCAACAACCTCAGCATTTCCCAGCCTAGACCCTGTTGCCAGGGGGAAGGAGCTCACCTTTGGCCCATCGGACTCATCCCTGAGTAGACAGACACTGGCACAGAACTGAGGCACATAGACCAGGGGTGGACCCTGAGTAAAAGTAGGGGTGCAGATGGTGCTGAACAGCATTCAGGCCCCCGTGGTACCACCAAACCTGGAATGCAACTAGGGGCGTCATCATAAAGACTTATGGAAAAGGGACCAAGTAAGGATAGCAAGGGCAGAGGTCATTGGGTGGGGAAAGAGTATTGTATAAGGAGACTGACATGGAACAAAGCTAAAAGGACAAGATAGCAGCAGCCTAAGGACAGGTACTAAAGTCAAGCAGGGGAAGACCTTGGACTGCCCCATTGGAAGAATGGAGTTTGGAGCCAGAGTGAGGGGCTAGCAGAAGCACCCATAAGGTTGTGCCCACTGCCTTGGTATAAGGCTGGCCTAGCATCCCTGCTAAGCAATATCTGAACAGAGCCCTGCAGGATCATGCCCAATTAGACCCCAGTACAGAAGTGTGAGAGATGGCAGTATGGGGCCTGTAGGTAAGGCAGGCACATGTCATACTCAGAGTATAGGTTCATACCCCCTGGGTACCACCTTTTTTCTGGGGGACCAGCCTGTGACAGGTGCACAGTGAACTCCCCAGAGTAAGCTATTCTATTTGTCCCTCTGTTAGTCCATCAGTGTCCCAGAGAGACCCTCAGAGGCACTGCTGTGAGGGCAGAGCTTCTCATGCCTCACCCAGAAAGAAGTATCTCCAAGGTCTCAGAATCATGGACCTGGGTTGTGATCAGGTATGAAAGCCATAATGCTAAAGGTCATTTGTACAAATTTGAAGGCTGAGCCACTCTGGGTGCTGGATCTGCATGTTCTGAGCTGCTACCAGGTAGGCATGGGGGCAGGGAAGTTCTCCTCATACCTTTCCCTCCTTTTCCTCAAACCTGATGGGGAGACTCATCAGTGCCACCCCTTATGGGTTCCGGTGTTCATCCCCCGGCGATTTAACCCTCATCAGCCTGACTTTGTAAAGAGCTGAAGACCAGGCAGCTTCTCCAAGATCTCTGTGGATCCCCACCTAGGCTTCCCTGTACCCGGTACTCTGTGAAGGGGTTGTTCTGGCCCAGATCTGCTTGGTCTGTCTTGGCATGTTTGGGAAACAGCTGCTCGAACTTAAGATTTAAATTTATGGGGTACGTTCCAGTCCAGAGATGAACTTTTACTCTACTAATGAATTGAAAAGTTAAAGCAGAAGGGGGAAGCAGGAATTAATGAATTGAAAAGTTAAAGCAGAAGGGAAACCAGGAATTAAAGTGATTGGGGTGATGGTAGGCCCTGGGCAGGTCTGGCTCAGCCTCCCACATCAAAGGAAGAGCAGAGTTCCCCAACCCCCCCGCCCCCACTGAGCACCAACTGCTCCTGCTGCTGAAAGAGGTCCTGGGAGGGGAGGGAATAGCCCCATGGAGAGGGTAAAGGCAGATATTCCATGCTTTACCTGATGGCATGTCCAGTGCAGGTCCCATAGACCCTGAAAATTTTAGTTTCCGTAAGCACCAGACTTCCGGGGAGGAAGCATTCTTGGGTGTTTTAAGGATGCAAGCCATCTGAGAGCTGCCTTGATAACCTGGAAGTAAGTGAGGTGATTCATGCCCTCAGCATCCAAAAGCATTCTCACCTATGCGATGGTGCTGTATAACATGGCTGCTTGCCTTGGCCCAAGACCTACATGCCACAGATGTGCCTTTCTTATGTCCTTCTGTTAAAACCTCTAATGAGCCCAAATCAATCTCTCCCAGGCCGGCGCTGGGAGCAGACATGGATGAGGAAACCTCAGAACACGGGTAATCAGAACCAGATGGCAGCCATGCTGTGCATTCCTGGCACCTGAGGTCATGTGCTATAAGAGCCACTTGTGGCCCCAGATCCTTTCTAGAAGGCCCTGCCCCAGGCCATGGCCTGGTCAGGGGCTGCTGTGGTGACCAAGAGACTCCTTGCTCAGGATGATACCCAGGGCTTGCCTTGGAGACATTTGGTGACACTAGAGCTGTGGGCCTGCCTTACCCAAGTGGCTTTCCCATGAGCCATCAGGTTTGGGCTTGGCTGTCGTCGAAAACAGGTGGTATGCAGGCCCTGCTCCTTCCTCCCATACTTGGGGCAGGGCCCACAGCCTTGAAGCAGGGACTGATTTACAGCTAGTAGTATTTTTAGTATTTTTAAGTCTTTAAGTAATAATCAGGCTTCTCAACCCCAGTCAGCCCTGGGCTGTGCTGTCTCCATACTATACTCAGTGAACATTCTGGCTGCACCACAGTGGTAGCTGCTCCCCTTCCTCTCCTTGGCTCTGCCAGGAGCTTCCCTTTAAATGGCAGTAGCAGAGCTACCTATGACAGCCAGGAATGAGACTGCAGGGTCCAGGGCCAGCTACCCGTGCATCCAGAGTTTCTGTGCCTATTGTAACAGGAGACAAGGATGAGGGCACAGACCTCTGGCCAGTGTTTTTGCATTCCCTTGGAGCCAGGTCCTCTTCATCCTTGGGAACACAACCCCCAGGACAGGTGCTGACCTTTTTCCGCTTTAGGTCTCTGCACAGACTTCTTGTCTCCCTCATTGCCTACCAGGAACTCTGTCCTCTTACCAGGCTCTCTGCCTTGATGTCATTACCCATTTCTAGGAGTGGCTATGGTAGGTGTAGAGTCACTTCTCTCTCTGAGAACGGTGACTGCTCAGCTAGTTGCTCAGTACAGCCAAGTCCCTTGGCAGAAGCTGGATATTTTAGCCCCTCACAGGTGAAATCATTGGTATGGAAGCATGAGAAAGCTAGTGTTAGGCTGCCCACTGCCCTGCCTGTGAAGACCACAGTCCAGGGCTCTGTTGAACCCTTCTGCTTGACCTGGAGCAACAGGGGACATATTTAAAAGCAGCACTTTTCTCCCAGAAAAACTTCACACAGTTGGGAAATTTGTAGAAAGAGGAAATAGCAAGGAAGTGACCTTGAGTCCCTGAGTAAGTGTTCCTAGCCAGGCTCACTGCTTGTTATCCAGAGATCCTCTCTTTACCAGGGGAGAGTTCACAGGAGAGAAAAGAACAAGATGATATCAAGTCAGTCTTTTGTCCTGGTTCCTAGCTTCCCACTGGGCCAACAGTGTTCTGGTCCTTGGAAGTCAAGGAAAGGACTTCTGTGTCTGCAGACATAGGCAAGTACATCCCACAAACACCTACACTGCCTCATGGTCCTGTCCAGCATGGGCCATCAGCTGGGTCATGGTAATGCTCCTGAAGGCAGCTTGTATGTAGAGCCAAGTGGGGATAAAGGGGCCGTGTAGAGGGGAGGGTACAGCCCAGCAGCTGGGCACTTTGCACACTGAGGACCCATCTGGGCTTATGGTTATAGAGTTGAAAACCTGTTCAGTCGCTTGTATGCAAGCATAAGCAGGAAGCACACAGGTTCCCTAAAGCTAGAGTTCTATCTATAGGACTTTGTCTGTAGGAATTTTTCTATAGGATTAAAAATCTTCAAGGTATTTTCCTAATGATGAGATCAACAGAAGGCAAGTGAAGTGTCCTGGACACAGGGATAATGCTGGCTGAGATAGACAGCCAGAGAAGGGTGAGCCCATGAGGGGTGGTGGACACTGGGGACATTGGCAGATCCATGAATAGATGGACTCAGGCACTGGAGAGATGACTGAAAGAGAGGAGGTTGGGCTGATAGGGTCCTTGGCCATGAGATAACAGAACAAGTGACAAGGCGATTGGAGGATAAGCAGTTGAGGTGCTGGTTGTATGTAGAACCCAGAACTTGCCTCATGTGTGGGCAATGACATACCAGACTAGGCTGGATTAACAAGGAGGCTGTGTTTGCAGCAAGTTATTGAGAGTTTTTCATCAGGTGAGATTCCTTCTTG